AATACTTACAAAATATTTACAATCTATATTGCACTTACTGATGAATGTTCTACTTGATTCACAATACAAGATTTATTTGCATTTTTATTGATGCATCGTCTCGAAATTTTAAGGGTATTGATCAAAAAAAAAAACAATGCTAGTGTATATTAAGTAGAAACTGTAGTAAACTTCCAGACTTTTCTAGAAATGACATCGTCATCTTTTCAAAAGTGTGACTATCAGCTTTTCTTTTCATTGAAAACCTTTTCTGTAGCTTGTTCATCTATTGAAGAGAAGAACAACTATATAATATTACAAATATATTCCTTGATGAGTGATTCTGACTTCTCTATTAAGCCTACCCACGAAAAAAGTTTTGAAAAAAAATCGATGTAAATCGCTATATGATCACTGATAACCATATTATTGTACATTGCAGTGATTGTCGATTTCATATACCGCAATATACTTATTGACGACTACGTTATTGGATATGAGTGTGGTTATCGGTCTCATATATCGCGGTATATGAAACTGGTTACTCACACCCACACCCTAATCGAGTATTGCCGAACATAGTAACTGAATGATATGTTTGAAGTGAATATGGTCGAAATTTCCAAAAAGAAAAATAATGAATACTATGATCCAATCTATATCATACCGACTAATTGTATAGGAAGTTAATCTATCAATTATTAAAACACCAATATTAACAAACGACAATAGAATACACATCAATTTTGTCGAAATTTACGTAATCTAAGAAAAATCATAACATATAGTAATCTTTCAACCGTACGACATATTACTGTGTATTTTATCTTTACTCTCAATAACATCTAAAATTTTATTTATCCGTTTACAATGTTCTCAAATCACTCTTGTATGAAATTTCGTTTAGGATTTGAAAAATCTTATATGAGATTTACGGGGGGGAACTTCTTCAGACGCTCCCTTCCGATTTCCTATTAATATTTAACTACGCTAGCAAATTTTGATCTGAAAGTTTATGCGTATAGAGAACTCAACTAGACTAGCTTCCATAAAAAACAATTCACAAGTTTTGAAGAATGTCTCTTCAGGATATGAGACTTCCAACATATAGATCCTGTTCTATCGATAGTGTATACAGAAAACTTCATACCTTGAAGAGACTTTGTTCAAAAATTGTGAATTTTTTTAAATAATAAGAAGATGTTATCAATCGAATTTCTATATGAATCAAAGCAGAAAATATAATGAAACTGTTTTATAACGAACAATGATTAAAAATTGGTTATTTTTTTTTTTTACAAATAGAGTACTGTAATAAACTTGTACATAGTGATCTACTTTTATCATATGAAACCAAGTATTAATTAAAAAAAGAACAACAATCATCAATGGCAAACAACTTTCAGTAGTCATGTTTATTTCAAAAAAATTATTTGATTTGTATAGATAAAAGCTTCGGAATAGAATTTCGTTGATAAAAAGCAACATGCTCTCTGATTTGATACATAAAACAAGGACATTGTTTATTATATCATTAGCATTCAAAAGACAATACTAAATAATTCATCACTATTATTGTTAGCGATAAAAATGCTTTAATGCATATTCATTGCATTTTTTTTTTTGTCAATATGAAGATTATTATTCAAAAACTAATAGAAATTTTATATTTATTATTTTTTGTATGTCTAGAGAAAATTTCTTAATCTAAATTCATTGAATAGTTTATATCATACGTTTATATAATCTAAAAAATCTTGAACATCATCATGGATTAATTATTTTCTTCTTTTTTTTTCTTTCTTTATTACTTCTTCACTTTGATGATTATTTTATTACATTGTATAGTTCTTTTTCGACGTTCTTAGATTTAATCAAGTGTATAAATTAAATAAAAACAACATGCATCTTTTTTTCTTTCTCATTATAACATATAAATCATTGGAATACGAACGATAATAGAAAAAAAAATCTAAGATTTAATATAGATAATGTACGATGCGAAAGTAATGGCACAAAAAAGTCGATCTGTATTTCTCTTCGATAAAAGGATGCTAAAAGAAAATTTTTCTTTACCAAAGAACAGAGCTTTTTCTCTTAGTTTGAATTGTATATAACACGTTCATAAACGAAACGACGCAACAGAAAAGAGAAACATCCTTCGAGAAAAAATCCGCACTTTTTCTATACAAGGATTGCATAAAATATCAATCCTTATCTCTCTTCAATAAATACGTTTCGAAAAGAATAGTTTTTTTTATTATCAGTCGATAGGAAATTTTCTTTTCTTTTTCAAACAATGTATGATTTATATTTGTCATACATTCATCAATAAAATAACACGATAGAAACACTTGTGCAATCAATTTTTAATTTTTATATGAACTCATCCAAAAAACATCTTGTAAAACGACAGTTAATTATAGTTAACTACCATCTATAAGATGTTTTTTTTTTACTAGTTCATATAAAAATTAAAAGTTTATTGTGCAAATATTTCTCTCGTGTCATTTCATTTATGAATGTGTGACAAATGTCAATCATACACTCTTCAAAAGCGAAAATTTCCTATCAACTGATTAAAAAAATTTTCTTTTCTTTTACGTTGTTGCGTTTATGAACGTATTATATACGATTCGAAAAACGAGAAAAAGCTCTATTACTTCATCAAAAAACCTTTTTATCAAAGAGAAATAGGAATCGACATTTTATGTCATACCTTATATTAATAATGATCGTTAACAATAACAAAAGAAATAAATTATTTTTATTACATCAAATATATTCATAGATTTAATTACTTCCTTTTTTTTAGTAAGAATACGTGATTAAATATAATAAGAAAAAAGAAACGATGATAGTAGACATGAAATACATGACTAAAGTAAATATAGAATAACTTTAATCACACAAAATTCTATCTCATACAAATGAGAGATAACTGTCAAGTTAATAAACTACTTTCCTTTGTTGAAACCTTTTTTTTTTTCATTAATGGTTACCAATTATATGTATGCATGTCTTTCTTCATTGAAGATTTCTTTTTTGTGTGTATGTGTGTGTGTGTGTGAATTCATGATAATCAAAGAATGTTTGTGAGTATTCCAAAACAAAAGTAGTATCGAGTACCATACACTACCAAATTTTTGAATGAAAGTTGTTTCTCTATAGCCAATCTATTTTCATTGAATTCTAGTTGAGCATCATTAGTATGCCAAAATGATTCACACATCATGTTAGTCACTGTTATCATTATTAAAAATGACATTTCTTCGATCATCATCTCTTATGAAAATCGGTTCCAATATAAAAGCTTGAATTGAATTAGGCAAAATACATGCGAACGAGATAAATAAATGAATAAGACTAGATTTTTATGTTAGGATAGAGAAAGTCTTATTAGATAAGCTTTTTTAACAAAAATCGTTGATTTTTCTTTTGAATAATAAACATTTACATATTAATAAATATATGTATGAAATTCCCATGAGAAGATTTACTTGTCTTTCAGTAATGTATATAACATAATACTATTTCTCTTCTAAAATTGCTTTTATTTTCTTGTTATTAATAATAAAATAAAAGTAATATAATATTATTTTCATAAAACAAAAATTGAAAATAGAGATTTCATTGAAATAATGTACTCATAATATCTAAGATTAATTCTTAATAAAAAGAAAAACAAACAATAATTATTTCTATAAAAATATTATCTTCTCTAGAATTATATATGAGACAAATAAGTATTCAAAGTTTTTGTTCATCTAAAAAACAAAATGATCAACAGCAAGAAATACTACTTAGAACGATTATCATTGAGTTGTAGAAAAAAGAGCCATTTTTTTTCCTAAGGGATTCGAATATTCATTATGTTTGCGTACGAGAATTTTCAATTGGTTTTATCTAAAACGAATCATCATACTAGAAATATTGATTTATATATAGGACATAATTAGTCTATTAATAGATAAACATCAAGTATCCTTGAGAAGTAATGTTCCGAAAATACATTATTAAACCTATTATAAATGAGATTATTTCGAACTAGTAGAAAGATAAAAATTATTTCTTATCGATGCTTTTTTTTTCCTGTTTTGATGAATAAAAAACTTTGAATATTCCTCTATTACTGAAAAAAAACAAAATCAATCCATTTGATTTATGCAAAATTTTTTATCCTATGATTATTCATAACTCATTTTGTATGTAAATTGATATTTATTTCTTGTTTTTTTTTTGCTTTTGCTTTTGCAATTTTTTTATATATGATTATTGATATTAGTTCTTGTTCGTTTGTACATATGAATTCTATTAATGAGAAGCGTGCTTTTTTTTGAGAAGAAACACTTGATCATTTTCTTCTACTAATCGATAGAAAGAGTAAAGAGAAAAACAACTAATAAATCCTGAAATAACCTTTGATTTATGTTAATACATCTAATTAAATGAGAAAATGACTTGTGAATGAGACAGAAAACAACAAAATATGTATATACTATAGTAATCCGACAAGCATTATTAAAATAATCATTTGCCCTTTTTGCTAGTGAACTTTTTTGGATGTATGTAGATGATGAGCAATGACAATGTGTCGTTATCGTTTACTCAAATATTATATGTATGACGAAATAACGATGCTTTCTTCGTTCTTTCTGTCCTTATTTTTTTATTATTAATAACATCAATTCAAATGCAGAAGCAGAAGAGAAAATGAGTATTCTTGATTTTATTAGCATCGTGTCTGTCGAGATTTATGTTCATATATTCAATATTCTTTTTTCTTCTAGTTGTTCCGAACTATCAGACGATCTTTATCGGATGTAAAGTCGTTGTTATCGAGTTTGGTTTTTTGACACGAGCAATATTTGTTTTATTATCCCGATGCCGTCGTTTCTATTAGATTCAGTAATTTATACATTAAGTATTCGAAGGCGATTATGTTCGATTATGTTTGTCAACGGTCATTATCGACCATTTCAAAATCAATTCAATTTATTCATATAACTTCTATAATATTTATGTTTTGTAATTTATTTTGTTTATGTTTTCATGGCATTGATTCACAATCAATCGAAAAAACATCATTACAAAAAGTTCTTAAAATTCGAAATACATATCAAACAAAAAAATTACTTCGTATTATTTATTTTCGTGAATTTGATATGTCAATTGATGAAAATCGTTTAAAAAAAGATTTTAAAAATCTTACAGAATCATATGAAATTGATTTAAAAATAAATATATTGAATCAATCAACATCATTATTGGTTACAAAATTATGTTCATTAATATCTGAAGAACAACGTGATACAATATTGATTGCAGATTTATATACAAAAGAAATTGATTTAATATCTCGTTCACTTAAAATTCCAACAATTGCTACTACAAATCGATATCAAATTGTACAAGGCAAACAAGTAATAGTTTTGAAAATTTTCTATTAAAACAAAAAAATTAAACTATGATTTTCTTTAGCATAATCCTTATTTATTTAAATTAATGCCAGATGCTGTAGAAGAAGCACAAACAGTAGCATATGCTTTAGATGTTCGTTCAGTTTATACTCGAATTGGTATTGAATCTTTGTTTTTTGTTTTTTTAATAATTCTTGATTTTAAAATTTTACTTTTTTTTTGTTTTTAGCTTTAATCTATGATATGTCGCTCGATATGATTGAATATCGTTTAACATATCTTCATCTTGCTAAACAACATATTATTTATCGAGCACATTTACCACGTATATCACTTTTATTTAATCTTCATCATCGTGTACGAAAAATTATTTTTGATTTAAAACAACTTAATATTGATCTTATTTTATGTATGATGTCAACTGAACGTGAATTACAATTTATACGTTTTATAAAAGAATATAATATATCATCAGAAATAGATTTTTTATTAAATAAAACAAGTTGGTGGTTTGCTTCACGTCTTGGTGAAATACGTAATTTAACATATTTTCCTAAAATTTATACAGCTAATGAAGATCGTCAAAGATTATTAGGACAATTTTCAAGTTCAAGTATAAAAATTTTATTAAATGCTGTTATTAAAACATATATACGTTTACCAATTTCATCATCATTATTTATTGGTACAAGTAATTGTGCTATTCAACAAAATCTATATCAATTAACAAAGACACATTTATTTATTAAGTAAGTAAATATTATTATTTTTCTAGTTTCGATTAAAAGAACACTATTATCTGACTTTTGAAAAACTCTATTGTAAGTTTCCGCAGGAAATCAAACAGATCCGGACGCATTGTATTCATTAATCTCGATATAGGATGTTCGTTTTCATTTTAACTTATTTTATAACGGATATATCAGAATAAATGAGAATGAAATTCCTATTTCTTAGACATTCATCTAGTTTTCATATTATTAAAGATAAAATTAATTTATTATTAAAAATTTGAAGAATATTCTTATATTTCTTTTTAAAGATTATTTACAAATTTTACTGAATGGAATTGTGAGATTCGAGTTGGTTCTGGTGTTGATCCAATTTTATTTGAACCTGAAACTCTTGTATGGCGTGTTCCAACGATATTTTTGGTAAATATTGAATAATTTGTTTTGTTTTAATTTTATATTTGAGAATTATTTAGGTTCATACCGAACATTCATGTCAAGGTATGCTTACTCGTATATACTATTCAATAAGTAATAATGCCGATCAATTATTTCGTTCATGTCGTCCAATAAGTTTATCATCACGTAAAAGTTCAACATCAACTCATCAAGATAATTCAAGTACAATAACATCATTATCATCATCATCATCATTATCAAATGCTCTTGTTGATATAAAAAATTATTATCAAATGTTTGGTAAATTATCAAATGATGGAAAAAATGATTGTCAATATGTTCATATTCATACACCATTACAAAAACCAGTTATTGTTGGTGTTGTTGAACCACCATATATATTTATGTCAGATGATAAAATTTCATCTGAATTTCATTGTAATTATGGTATACATTGTTATCAAATTGATCCATTATTAATTAATTTTACAATTGATTCAAGTTTTTTTCATATAAAAAAGACAACAACACCACATTGTTGTTATGGAATATCAATTAATCTTTTATTACGTATTGAAGATTCAAAATTAGTTACAACATTAAAAACAACAAAATTATTTGTTTTTTTGGATAAACCAACGAAATGGTTAGCATTAACACAAACATTACAAAATGGTCGAGCAGATTTATCTATATCAGCTATTTCATATGAATCATTTTTAGCACGTTCAATTGATTTAAGTCCACCATTTTATCATTCATCATATGTTATTTTAACTGTACCAAAACCAACTGGACCATCATTAGGCACTTTTTTACAACCATTTTCATGGACAACATGGTGTATGATTTTTTTAGTATTAAATGCTACTGCTTTATTTGAAATGTTTTTTGAATGGCATAGTCCTTATGGGTAAAATTAGACAAAAAAAAAACCTATTCTTTAAAATGAAATTTTTTTTTTTTAGTCTAACACCAAGAGGTCGTCGTCGACATAAAGTATTTAGTTTAGCATCAGCATTAACACTTGGTTGGTCAATTATTTTTTCACATACATTCAAAACAAAATCTCCTAAATGTTGGTCAAATCGTTTTTTAGGCAATGTAAATTTTTTATAGAAAAAAAAGTCAAGAGAAAAAGAAAAATAATCTTCTATTTTTAATTAAGGTATGGGGTGGATTTGGTATTGTATTTATTGCTATTTATACTGCTAAATTAGCTGCATTTATGGTTGACAATGCTCAAACAAATACTGCAAGTAATATTCAGGACATTGTTGTAAGTTTGAAATAAATCTATGATAATGATTATTAAATACACAATATCTTACTTATAAAGGATTTAAATGGGTTAAACCTCATGAAAATTTTTTGTTTCAAAACTAAAACAATCTCATAAATCTCTCATATATACGCAGCAACATAGTTCACAAACTAGCTGAGAAATACGAGGTTCAAATTACTATTTCCAATATCTTATTGGCTATTATTTTAGTCTATGAATATTCAAAAGTTAATAATTCTCTCAGAATTTTCTGATAAATGCTAACACTGATCGAATTTATTGAAAGCTATAATAAATATATCCAAAATGTTTAACTCTTTATCTCCCAATGGTGGTTTCAGAAGAGTCACTGATAAAATTATCACACTAATAAAGTATTGGTCTCGTCCATATACTAATGGTATGGATAGAACAATAAGACCCATTTAGAGGTGTAAGCCGCCGCCGTTAACATCCAAACATATGTGATCGAACATTTTTTTTGTTATTTTTCATTAGTCGAATTTCTAATTACAGATATTGAAATAAACAGGAATTTCTTATTCTCGAAAGAATACTTCAATTTTAAACTTAATAACTGCCGTTACCACTGAAGAGTCTGCAAAATCGAACCAGTACCCACTGGAAATTCTCAAAAATTAAAAATTTTTGCCCGTCGCCACCGTTCGATCCTTCGGCTTACACTTCTAGACACATTATATTTCATGATTAACATGATAACAGAAAAGAAGAGAATATGAAAAAAAAAAATTTTGCAGCACACTCTAAGTCACTAATATGACCAATGAAAGTATTTTCTTCACGATAAATATTTTGTTCGATCGCTAATATGATAAGGTTTACAAAAAAATTTATGTATGATTTTCTTTTACCTCTCGATAGTCGTCAAAGGATCTATTCAATCGTTTATCAAGTCTTTTCTGGCAACCTATGAAACGCATCTGATTCACTAGTAAAGATTTTTATCGATATATATCACATAAAGTATCTTCGAGATGTATTTTGTTTGCAAGTAGAAAAGACTTATAAGAAAAATTTTATTTTTCCAATCTTATTGGTTTTGTAAGTCATGCTTATCGGAGAAAGAGCAATATTTTTTTTTCTGTTCATAGAGTTCTTTATAACGAACATAGGATCAGTTACAGATTACAAGATTCAATTTTTTCTTTGAAATAGTATTTTTGTGATTGTCCATGTCATTAGATGATAAAGAGTTAATTCAAATTTAGAGTTTAATATCAGTCTCAAAATCATTTTCAAATACTTTCAATTAAAAAAATTTCAACTGATATCATATAAAATTCTCGTTGTCTATTTCTTAAATTTTAAGGATATATGTCGTAATATGCCTCGATGTACTGTGGGTGTTGTTGCAAATACAAGTGATGAAGAATATGTAAAAAGATTTCATACAAATACACTTTATCGTAATATACAATATGTATCATCTTATGGTCAAGGTATTGATTTACTTCGTAGTCATATAATAACATATCTTATTATGGATCATTCAATGGCAAGATATTATTTAACACGTGATATATTTAAATTAATTCGTATGAGTGATGATAATTTTGGTACATTTGGTTTATCATTAGGTTTTTCTAAATTTCAAACAGATTTAAAAGATAATATAACAGATATTTTATTATCTTATGTTGATAAAGGTAAAATTAAAAAAAATGAATTAAAATTTTTGTTATAAATTAAAAAAAAACAAAGAGAAAATTTTCAGGTATTATTCAACGTCTTCATGATGATTGGTATGTCTATGAAAATTGTGAAACTAAACTATTAGATGAGGTAACTACTATTGACAAAAAAAAAACAAAGACTTAGAAATAATCCTAGATTTAAATTTCAAGTGATTCCTGATTAAAGATGTGCGAGATCAAGTATTGTTGCTTCAGTCTCGGTCTCGCATATCTCTTTTCATTCTAAGAAAAAATCGTTTCATTTTCTTTTTATTTAGAATCAAGAATTATCCCTTGATCGATTTTTTGGTGTATTTATGTTATTAATAGGTGGTATGGTAGTTGGATTGATTATACTTATATTAGAATGGTTGATATTTAAGTATGCTGTACCATGTTGGCGAAGACGACAATGGCCTGGTTGGTTATTTTGTTCTCAAGTAAATAAAATAGAAAAATAAGAATTTTATGTTTTTTTTATCTTCTTCTAGCGTTTATATGCCATATTGAATGCATCAAATGATGTTTATAATAAAGCATATCCTTCGCAAAGCAATGATTCATTTACAACTGTTGGAGAACGGTTTGTAATTTTCTTTTTTTTTTTTCTCTTTCATATAATAATTTTTAATTATTTTTTCATATAATAGGCTTCATAATTACACAACTCGGCGTGATAGTTTAGATTTGCATGTTATTAATGTTCCGAAATTATTAACTACAACTTATCAATTAAAAGAAAAAATAAAAAAAATAAATGAACAACAACAACAACAGGAACAACAGCAACAACAACAACAAATATCATTTATTTCTCCGAATGGTGGTTTACGATTGAAGAAAGAAAATTATGAAAAACTATTAATTCGAAAACGTATTAAAGAACTTGAACAAGAATTAAAACATCTAAAATCACAATTAATAATAAATTCAACAACAAATAATTAATAAACTATTCATTTTTACATATTATTGGTGCTATTATGTCTATTACGAATTGTATTTATGTATATATAAATCAAACGTTCTAAACAAATAAATTATTATAATCAAAGTTAATTCATCAGTATTTTGTATAATATTATTAAAATTTTCTTTATTATAATGAATCAATTAATAAGCATTTTTTTTTTCAACAATATTATTATAATTTCAGTTTGACATAGATGAATTTTATTTCACTTGTATGAAAATATAGTAATGGAATACAAAATAAATTTTCTTGAAATTCACATTGTATGTTGGTTATTCAACCAAAAGAAAAAATAAAATAAAACTTTAGAAGATCAAATGATATTTAAAAAAGTCAAAGAATATGTTAAATCACCTTTGAAATTAAACGAGAAAGTTCTATTTGTCCACGACTAATTACTAAAGCTTAGTATAAAACAACTAACTTTTTTAGAACTCATTAAAAATTGTTACAAGAGTTTTGATCAATACAAAATGTTTTCTTAAATCACAAGCGCAGTGTTTTATTTTTTTGTAAAATTAAAAAAAAACAATTTTTTTTCTGTTCGAACCACACTTGAGAACACAATCAAATGGCAAGGACAATAGAGACAAAATGTCTACATCTTATTTTTTTTTGGTTGCAAAGCAATGTACAACAACACCTGTAGTTAAAGAGACCAGAGAAAATAGAAACTAAAAAACAAAAAAAAAAAAAAGAGAGAAAAATGTTGGTTGTTCTCAGTGTTCTCGTCATCTTGTTTTAGTTGAAAGTAAAGCAAAAGACAATAACCATGAGTATGGAAGCACAATTCTACGAAGCTCGACGTCGTCAAAATGCCATTGAACGACGTCAATCCCTTCAAAGTCGAAACGAAACAGTTAAACAACCTCAACAATCTGAATATACAGTTTTACATATCCCTGTTCGTCTACCACATAAAGATGATAAACATGAACGATGTACATGTACTCCTATGCAACGTACTAAATTAACTAATAGTGATCAATCTTTATATAAACGAAATCGAGATATTTATCCGTAAGTATTTTATAAATAATAATGTTTTTGTTTTTCTTCTATACGATTAATTATTAGTCGACCGCCACCTTTAGCAACAAGAATAAAACGACCTTTTCAACATGCAAAACTTCATCATCGATTTTCTGTACGTTATTTTAAATAATAAATAAATATTTATTTATTTATTTTCATTTTAGTCAACTGAATATCTTCAACAATGGTAAACAGACAAAATTATGAAATGGACAAATAGTTTTTTCCTTTTTTTTTTTATTATATAATATATTATTTTAAATTTTAAATAAATAAATAATAAAAAAGAAAATGAGAAGACTTATATTTCAATTTAAATAATTTCTTATCAAACAAATTAAAGATTTGTTTTTTTTTTTTATGTTTGAAAAATTCAATTTTCAAACCCCTCGATTAAATTTTCTTCTATCTATATTTTCCCGACTATTCAATCTAGAAAAATGATTCACACGTGGACAATATATCTTTTGTTTAATTGCCTTTATATATGTATACTATGGGAGAGAGTGATAGTGAATCTCCTTTTTTTCTCCTCTTCTTCTCTCGTGTTCGATGATTTTCTTTCGAGAATAATTTAATTCAGTTCGTTATTTTTTTTATATCCATCGAGGACATACCAATATTTAGCAGCATAAAATCGTTTTCAATATGTCAATTAGTAAGTGCAAAATTATTAAGAAAATAAAAAAAACTCGTATCTTTATTTAAGGTTCTTATCAATCAATGATTAATAATAATCTAACTACTTTATCAACAACATCAACTGGTTCATCAGTATCAAATTCATCATCAGGTTCAACTGGTGGTAGTGGTAGTAATGCACCAATGTCATTAGCTGCTGCTAATGTTGTACGTGGTATAATGGAAAAAGTTTTAGCAACACCACCAATGGGTGCTAGTATAAGTGGAGGAATACCATCATCATCATCTAATGCTGCTGCTGCTGCTGCTGCTGCTCGATTATTTAATGAACTTGATTATTTATCATCACCAGGACTTGATTCAGATTTTGGTGATACATCACCATTACTTTGTACAAGTTCATCTAATTTAAATAATCAATATCTTCGTTTAGCTATTAATAGTAATAATAATAAAGAACAACAACATTGTCATCATGGAAATTTTCTTACACGGTAAGAATTTTGTTTTAAGGCCTCCGTCCTTCTTCAAAAAAAGTCGATAGATGATTTTTGAGATTACTGAAACGAGCATATCACTTTAGATACCTACTTTATAAATATATTATTCAATCTCAAAGACTTTTAAAAAAAAATTCTGAAGCTAGTTAAAACAATATTTACGGTAATTATGATAACTGACGCCATCTATCATTAGTTATACCGTGTGATAAACACAGTTCGAGACCACCCCGACGGTAAGGCTCTCGATTGTTTTTGAGAGTGGGGAGAGAGGGGCTGATACTTTTCATAAAAACTGGTGACCGGATAGCGCGCCACTTTCCGTGTTTCATAGAAAGTCATGATCGGGCCCAATGGGAGTAGCTTTGAAAAGATCCCCCTATTCTCCTTCAGAGATGAGCCAAATCTTGGAAAAAGTTCCATACACAAAAATAAAACCGGGGCTAAGGAGGTGGGAGTAGCTTGTGAAGATCCCCGAACAGCGTCTATTTAAAAATTTGTCAGACAGTAAAACAGATTTTCAATTAATGCGGGGACCAGTCCCCTCACATCGAGAACTCTGTCCGACGGGCTCTAGTCATGAACCCTTACCATTGATACATAACGTTTGTGTTTTTAGCTCGATTAACAAAAAAAAAATGTCGAATCAATTTTTTAAAAATATAATTCATTATAGAGAACTGTTGTTTTTTTTTATTTTATTGGGGCACTTGATGCTTCTTCGGATGGGGAGAAAGAATTTAGAAGTTTCAACACTCCGCAGAAAATTAAAGAGAGTAACAATTCCCAATTCTACACCTTGAAGTATAGTGAAAACAATATTTGTACCTATCGGAGGTCCATTTTAGGCTGTGATCTCCTGAACGCTGAGGTTTAGGAAGATTTTGACGGTGGAGAAAATCTTTATAATAAATTATTTATTTTCTAGACATTGTTTATCACAAAATAATAATCGAACAATAAATAGTCCATTTTCACATCAACAATTTACAGATTTAACAAATTTAATTGATTATTCACCACCATCAAATTCTATGACAAATATATTTTCTGAACCAGATGATATAAATGATTTAAATGGAAATAAAAAATTTATTGCTAAACGAGCACAAATTGGTAAAAGTCGAAAAAAAAACAAAAAATCTCATTTTGTTTTTATTTTGTTTTCTTTTTAGATATGACTAAACAAGTAACAGATGCTCGTGCTTTATATTTTATGTTAGGTATTAAAATGAAATGTAAATTTTGTTTTGAAAATGGTGAATCATTTGAAGTTTATCGTTCTCATATGTTACGTAATGGTGCTGGTACAATACTTTGTCCAATATTACGTGCTTATGTATGTCCAAAATGTGGTGCTACTGGTGATTTAGCACATACATTACGTTATTGTCCATTACATCAATCACCTGGTAATACTCAATTACTTGGTAGTGCTTTTGATTAAAATTCTAATTGTGTACGAATGATTCTATAGGAACTCTTTAGTGTGTGTGTGTGTGCCATTGAAATATTTTCTTCGACTCTATACTTTAATGTAGATCTGATATATATATATTAGTTTTGTTATTATTAATGTGTTAGTTTCTTTTCCGCATATCTCATATATATATATAAATAATAATTTTCTTCTATTAAAATAATTCTTTCTCTTGGTTGATTGATATAAAGTCCACTGAAATTTTCATAGTGGTACAAGTGTTTGTTAGTTTTTTTTTTGTTCCGTTGTACATGTGTATGTTTTATGTGTGAGAGAGAGAGAGTTAGTCGTCTATGTGTAAGTCTATAAGTGTGTGGTTTCTCTTTTTTTCTTTGTTTGTTCTTGTGTTATTGTCTCGATTTGAGACAAAAATTGTTGCAGTACGTTTTTTGTTTTATTTCATGAAAAGAGTCAGATGAAAAAGAACATGATTGATAATAAATAAAAATGAAGAATGATTATTATATATGAATACATTAATATTTCAATTCTTCAAAAACTTATTTCATAAAGGAATTATTAGAAGTAGTCTAAAGTATTTAATTTTTATACATAGAAGATCTGTAGATTAGAAATGTCCTCTATGATTTGAGTTGATTCAGATTTAACAATTCTATTGAAATTTCTCGAGAGGACTTGCATTTTAATGTGAAATTTTGTTAAGACAGGGTTGTAGGAAATAAAATTTCAAATTTTTGGATGTAGAATTTCTGAGATTTTTAATTATTGTTTTATCCAAAATTTATAAACAAATGTCTATGTTTTCCAAAAATATTTAGCTGAATTAATGTCAACAATAAATGAACATTTATTATTTTGTTAAATGTATACATACTATACTATATTTGGTTTAAGTCTTGTAGACTATTGAAAGAACGTTTTTTTTTATTCAAGGAAAACTTTTTTCAAGAAATTTAAAAATTTTTTATCTTAAAAGAGAAATAGGAAAAATTAAGCAATAATTGCTTGAAAAACATCATTTATATATGATACGGGTTTTCATATTTAATATAGTTAATCGAAGGCGATGTTTTCCATTAAATATACAAACATATCGTAATAAGAAAGATTTTTATTTGATGAGTATTATTTATCGTGATACTGAAACATCTTATTTTCATATAGAACAATAAACTTTTATTTTTCCTAGACATCTCTAACTGAAATCTACAAAGAGAAGAGCAATGGAAGGATACACATCGAAAACAATCAAATATTACAAAAAAAAAATAGAACATTGTTTTTAGTATTATTAAATCAAACGAGAAAATTTTCTAAAGTTTTCAGTATGGAAATAAATTATCATCACAACTACTTT